CGCGCCTCTCCGGCCTCGGAAGATGCGACCAGGCCAGCCGTGCGCAGCACCTCTGAGCAGTTAGGGTTTAGGGTTTAGGGTTAGGGTTTAGGGTTTAGGGCGAGCAAAGTAGCCTTTGCTGTTCTTCAGGAACAGAACTGCAGTGGTGCCTGAGGTTTGTCGCAAGCAAGCAAGCACGCAAGGGTTTGCAGTGCAGACTCGCAGAGTGCGGAGGACCTCACCAGCGCGTCGACGGCATCTTCGGCTAAGGGCGAGCCGTCTCATGAGCAGAGCGTGCTGGAGGAGCAATGCTATTTGCACGGTCTTGAGTCTTGTTCCACCGTGCAGGGAAGGGTCTTTAGCGCTCCAAAACAGGTGAGTTGGTCAGCTGCCCGAAGGACTCTAACTTGTTGTGACAGGTAGCACGTTGCGACTGCAGTGCATGCCAAAGCTGCAACGATGTTCGTTGTAGGAAATCGCACTTCGTACCCGTTCCGGCATGTCAGTTGTATTCTTTCACAGAGATTTGCGCAGTGGCTAGATCCATTGAGTCTTTCGGTCGGTTTTCATTGTCCGCAGGTTGCTTTGGCTGCATTGGATTTGGAATATATATATATATGAGTTAATTCTGCTGCTGCATGTGAAACACACCAGCGAAGAAGGGTGAAGCATCCTCTAAACGGCGCAGATTTGGTAAATGGCATCTGCCCAGCGCTGTCTGTGCTTGTCTTTTGCAGTCACAGCAACACTTGTGGTAGCACTTCTGTGCATATCCCTAAACCCTAAACCCTAATTATCCAGGCCCTTGAATTCCTGTGCTTCTACCCATTGTCAGCTGGAGGAGGCAGTAATACACTGATTGCAGATATGTTTCGAACTGACCCGAAAGCAGTTGCGGCTGCGACAGAATTGCTCCACCATTGCTCCGTGGCATCCATTCACATCCATGTCTTAGACAACTCCAAACTCTTACACATCGGTTGACTCGGAATCTTCATTCCAACACCCTACTCAAAACGAAGAACTGAGTGTCCAAGAGAGCCAGCCACATCGGCCCTTAAAGCGGGCTCCGAATTTCTTCGAGTTTGCGGGGCAGGCCGCAGACTCCGCACCGGTGGAAAATCGGCCAGAAACAACAACAACAACTGAAAATCAAAGTGCCACCAAGTGCATTGCAGAACGCTTGACGATGTGCCGCCAGGAGAACGGAGTCTTCGCAGGCGAGCTGGTTTAGCACATGCCTCGCTTCATGTCGTGTCTGTTGCGCAAGAAGATGCCTTTACACTTTGCGGTGCTGCAAATTTGAGGTTGGTCCGGTTGGACGCAGTTGAGAAAGGATGCCTCCGACCGCTCTTTGAGCACATATTCGGAGAGGCACTGCCTGTGTTTGTGGGGCATCATCAAGCAGACTCTGGCCGGGGTAGGGATCTCTGGTTTCCACTGCCTGGGTACAAGCAAGGAGTTGGCCAAGCCGGCCCTATAATCTTACAGTGTATAGTATATTTAGTTATATACTATATATTATATAACATATATTATATAACATATAATAGAAACATAAAAGATATAAGGTATAAGACCGATCCAGCAGCGTCTTGGCTTCGCGTCTGCCGAGTCCTCCGTGCTTCTTCGCAAAGTCTGTCTTTTCTTCAAAAAGCATCCGGAAAAGAGTTGCGCTTCAGAAAGCTCTGTACGTGCAGCGCAAAATGGAAGAAAACGAAGCAATCCAATCCGTGAACATGCCAGTGGCCACAATCGATAATTTTGTCACAACATCAACTGCGGCTTCAGACACAGTAATCAAGCACCGGCCAAACACAGCTTGGCTTCCCAGGAACTTGAAGCTGACAGGCAGTGGTTGGTTGCATCTGTCGAGAGTGTTCAGAGCAATGCAGCAACATCCTGCAGCCTCAGCGGCAGCATTGTCGGCATGCTGTGATACCAGAGCTCTCCGCCCGTTGTTCTAGTGCTTGATCGGAAGTCCCCCGAGGGCGGATCTCGGCTTTTCCTTGTAAAGGTTGCGCCACCAACGAATGATGTCTTGTGAATCGCATCTGAACGATGCCTCTCTTGAAGTTCTGGGAAGTGTCAACATCCAGAAAGTGGCTGTTACTATCCTACTTTTGGCAGGCCTAAACCAAAAGATGTCCGGACGACAGTGGGTTCGCTGAGTTGTTACTATTGCTACTTCAAGTAGGCCTAAACCAAAAGATGTCCGGACAACAGTGGGTTCGCTGAGTGGTCTTGATTTTGGCATCGGTGAGTGCAATGAAAGGCTTCTACATCGACGTCGAGTCGCCGTCAATTATAGGGTTGTATTATACCATATTGTATATGGTCTTGTATCACACTGCGTTGCATTGTGATTTCTGAGTGGCCGCAGTCATCAGCTTTTCTTTTGCGTCCCACATTTTTGGGTCGGTATGCCTATCAATCAATGACTGAAGCTTTGTTTACCGCCGTCATCCCCTTTCTTCTGCATCCCACATTAAGCCAGTCGGTATACCTATCAATGACTGAACCTTTGCTTAGCTTTTGCCGCCCAAGTCTCGCCCAGCAAATCGGCCCGTATGCAGGGCAGCATGCGATGAACTTGCGGCGGCGAACTTCCAGAAGCAACGAGGCACGTGATCCATGAGAGCACATGATGTGCGCATATGAGTGCAGTGCTCTACTTGCCTCTCTTGTCGTGTGCGCTGTCCAGGCTGCAATTCCTTGCGGCAGCCGCTGCTTCATGATATTGTATAAACCTGAGCGGAACGTAACCGCGAATTTCAGGAATCTCTTTGGCTTTACGCATAGCGGAAGCAACTTTCAAGTTGTTTCGAGCAGGACCGATGCTGCTGAAGCCAGGAATCAGCCTGGGTGCCCAGCGGGCCCAGCGGTAGGTGTTGGTGTATCATGTGTTGTCGAGCAATAGGTGTTATGTCGCCACTTTCTGAACTGCAATGCCGTGGATGAAAGGCTGGGGGCGTTTTGTGTCGGGCACTCTGGTTGGAACGCGCGCAGCAATATAGGTTATTCCTCAAGGTCTGCTTGCAGGCTCGTTTAGAGTCTAGAGTTCTGAGTTCATGCATGGTGCCGGAAAACGGCATCATCACTTTGTGGAGCAATGGTCTGCACAAGCCAACGACCTCTCCATGTCATCCTGGGAGCCAAATCACTTCGGTGGAAGAGTTCTGAGTTATGACAGCGGTGGAGTCGTCTTAGAATCATTGGCCCCCCTCGGAACACTCTGTGTCAGTCAATCCATGTGGGATTGACCAGGATGCTGGTGCCGACTGGCAATGAAAGTTCCGGAATTTTTGTGATTTTCCTCGATGTCTCTGCATAGCGAGGCTGCGAACCGCAAACGCCTGTTCCGTCCTCCATGTCGATCCTTCCGGAGTCCGGAAAATCAGGAACCCTTATCTGGAACCCCAAATAGAAGGGTTCCTTCATTTTCTGACACTCCCCGTTGCATCGGCCTGCTACAAGGCAAGCCGCCAGCTACCCTCAGCCAGTTCTTGTCGCTGGAGTGGGTTGCAGAATGATATACGTTGAATAACGCTTGACCGCGGGGAGGTGAAGGCCCTGCGTGAGAGTGTCAGCATGAAGATGTCAAAGCTGGGTGAAACGGGAGGTTACCTCGAAGATTACTACTGCTGTTACTGTGACCAGTACTGTTATATACTAGTACCAGTACTGTTTCTGTTACTAGCATGAACTACTGCTGACCAGTACTGGTATATACTTGTACCAACACCGTTTCTGTTACTAGCATGATTCTTATTAATCTTACACTTATAGACTCTTGTTTCTGAAGCCCTGACAGGCTGAGGACCCTTAAACCCAAAACCCCACGCCCTACACCCTAAATCCTTAAACCCTACAGCCCTATACCCTGAACCCTGAAGCCTACACCCTAAACCCCAAACCCTACACCCCAAACCCTGCACCCTAAACCCTACACCCTAAACCCTGCACCCTCAACCCTACACCCTAAATCCCCAAACCCTGCACCCTACACCCTAAATCCCCAAACCCTGCACCCTAAACCCTACATCCCCGAAGCCCCCCCAAAAAGCTGCCAGAGCTCAGGCCCCGATGGGCCCATGGCCCCCGGTGGCAGCTACCTCTACGAGTTGAGGCTCGAGGTTTTCTTTTTTTGTTTTTTCGGTGTTTAGATGTTTAGGGTCTGTTTAGGTTTTACTCAGGGTTTTTAGGAGTTGTTTTTAGGGTTTTTTTAGGGGTTTTTCGGTTTTTTAGGGGGTTTAGAGGTTTAGTTGAGTTTAAAGGTTTAGAGCTTCAGAGGTTTAGGAGCTTTGGGCTTAGGCTTTGGGTTTTCGAGTTCAGATGAGTTCAATATTTAGGGTTTGGGGTTTAGGGTTTAGGGCGGGTCTTGGTGCTGTGAAGCCTACAACAGTGTTGCTTCTGCAGAGGCGATGGGCGGACGCTGTGCGCGAGCTCAACAGCGAGTGTGCCGCGCGTCGGGGCGATGTGTGCCTAAGTGCTCCGGCTTTCCTTGTATTGTCGCTGTGTTTGCCTGCTCTGTCAGCGGTGATTGGCTGTTTTTTTTTGTTTCGCTTGCCAGACCTCCTCGCATACTTGCGGAACTTCCCCGAGACGGATCAAGATGCCACTGGAAGTCATGGAGTTCTTGGGCCGGGCTCTGATATGATATGACCAAGATCCCAGCTTTCACTTCTCAGTGGCTGCTTTCAGTCGACTAAGTCTGTTGAACCTCTGTGCCAGTGTTTCGCCAACTTTAGTTCGAGATGTCGCAGGATTATGAACCTTTCAGCTTCACCAAGTTCCCTTAAATGCCTGGAGGTCAGCGTTGGTTTGCACATGCGTTCGAGCAATGACCGCAGCCTCTGCTACACAAGCACCCTCAGGGCCAAGACCATTGCGGCTCTTCCAAGCTGCAGCATCATGTCATCATAGGTGAAGTGCGCATGGCAGTGCAATTTCCCGATTTTTGGTAGCTAACTGGCTGGTAGCATGGCTTCCGATGAGTGGGACCTTGGCAGCCATCACCGCGTCTTCGCAGCTTCGACGGTGGAGTCAGGCGTTGGACTTGCTGGAATCATCGCGTCACCTGCGCGTGAAGCCGTCTGCAGCCTTATATACAGCTGCCATCGACGCATGTGGTGCCGGTGGTCACTGGGCCTCTGCAGTGAAGCTGTTCGATGAGCTTCAGTCCATGATGACGCCGGATGTGGTTTGCTTTGGGGCAGTGATCGCGGCTTTGTCCACCAGTACAGTATGGGAGAGGTGCTTGGCCACACTGACTGCCATGTATGAGTGGAGGATTGATATCAACATCGCCTGTGCAACGGAGGCGGTGCCAGCCTCAGATCATGCCATGCATGCTCGCAGGATGAGTATCACGATCGTTATTACGATTACTAGTATTATCTTTAGTTTCATTATTGTCCTTATTGTTATTATTAAGATAATAGCTTTTATTATAGTATTTTGTTCCTATTAGTTTCATTGTTGTGATTTGTTTTTGATATTTTCTATCCGTTTGTAGCATGTGCTGTACTCCAGGGACAAATGCCAGCAGATGTGATACCTCTCGGCTTCGGCATGCAGCTTTGGGCTCAAATAAAGGTGAGCAGGCCATGAAACCGGAATCCCTTTTCGAGGGACGGTGGCTTCGGCTCATAGCAGCGCGTGATGTCGCAAGCATTCATTTTGGATTCGGACTGGCCATGTCGAAGTTTGCAGCATACCATAGTATACCACAAAGGTCCAAGGATGAAGATCTCAACCAGATGTAGACACGTGCCCCAGCTTGCAAAAGATGCTGCTGCAGTTACTTCCTCTGTGCTTCACAGCAGCTACGAAGAATGGCATGTACTCCCTGGCTGGAGGGCGTGAGTTGATGATTTCCCCACACCTCCCGCCATCCCCCACGATATCAGCCACATGACAATTCAAGTGACAATTCCCACAGGTACTGGTATGGCTTCTGCTGGGATGCACGGAGGCTATCAAAGTGACGGTAACTCTGCCGGCCAAGGCGCCAATCTGTGCTAGCCGCTACTAGTACCCTGATTTGCTGAGGGTGGTGGGCTGGCGGGCCACATTCTAAGCCATTGAGCTGTTTTGATTTAGCTGTCGACTGCAACCCTACTTTTTGCCTGACACTTCCGATAGGAGCCGAACCTTCTTGATGACTTCTTAAGCCTATGAGACCGTAAAGGCCGCTGGCGATCTGTTATAAGACCCTAAACCCCTAAACCCTAAACCCGAAGCCCCTAAACCCTAAACCCCTAACCCCGAAGCCCTCAACCCTAAACCCTAAACTCCTAAACCCTAATCCTAGGCCCTGAGCATTGAGCCGCGAGGAGAAGAAATGCTTCGGAGAGCAGGCTGCCAGGATGGAGCTCTTAGCCTTTTGGTCGCAAGCTGGAGAGTTTACTTTCAGGCTTCTTTTCGATGTCCTATATACTGTAGAGTTCTGTGGCTTCGCTTTGGGGCTCTGCTATAAGGGTTTGTATAGGGATTCTACAGGGGATCGCTCTATACGTAGCGGGCTTACCCTTGCATGGTATGCTGTGATAAGTTACTCTCAACTGCCCCACCCGGTGCGTCGACCTGCAACTGCCTCTTCAGTGCACTCAGTTTGTGGAGCTCAGCGTTGCAGATGGGAGCAAGGCCCAACACCCGTGTGCATCCGATGGACATGCAATCTTGCCCGGCTGTCCGTTGCCTTGTCTCAATGAGTGTTGCGCAGGTGGGCGTGACGGTGCTAAGCCCTCATGCCACCATCTTCTCCGAGCATGACAGACAGCAGGTAAAGACAGCAAGGGCCCAAGCTTCCGGGGCCGGCGGCCTTGCCCTCTTTCTTTTTATCCTCTCTTTCAGAAGCGCGGCTGCGGTGGGCCCCCAAGGCTTTCACAACGCAAGAAGCTGGCCCTCACTGGGTTTGTGTCCTGACAGCAAAAGGAGGTCCAGGAATGCTGCGGGGTGATGGGCAGTTGAAGCTCAGGTATCCAGAACGATGCGCCATCCGCAGCGGAAGTCTTGCTAACTGCCCCTCAGCGAAGCTTCTGCCTCGGTTTGCAGAGTGTGTGGCCATTGTCTCTGGATGCAAGGTTTTGCTGGGTCCCGAAGCCAAAGACTATTCGCAGGTTGCGAAGAAGGACGTTAACAGGGTTTTCGAAAGGCGTGCACGAGCCTTGATCATTTGAGCAAGGTCGGGGGACCGGAGCGCGCCGTCTGAACTGTTCCCTTTTGGTGTTCGTGCTTTGGTGCTTTGTTGAAAGCCCCATGCCCTCGCTTCCGTTGTCTCGTACCTCTCCTCATGCCGTCGCCGTGTGAGGGGCCACCCTGAGTGGGAGGAGCTCAGCAGCTCTCTGCCGCTTTCCTGCCCACGACCACTGCCCATGGGTCAAATCCTGGTTTGCATCATGCTCAGGCAGAGATGATGACCTTTCTCAAACCCTCAAAAAACGAAGATCGGGCCAACAAGAATTGTGGAGCTTTTTGAGTTCTACCATCCACAACTGCACGCCGAAATTACACCTTTCCACGTCAGGACTCCGATCCCAAAACTTGACTAGCTGAGCTTGGAGGGAACTCAATGGAGGGCTTCTGCCAAGTCTCTTCGGGGGTTCTCATGTACCAGTCCTACAATGTTAATGCCTACGATCCTCCTCGTATTGCCTAGCTTACTTGTCTTCTTTTGCCATCTTGGCTGACTTGCTCGTGGGCGCGGAAGCGGGACGAGTAGGCATCGTGAGTCCTAGAACTGGCCTTGAACCGCGGGACTTGGCAGAAGAAGCGGCCGCGGGTTCTGAAGTGTGCCTGCACCGCCGGAGTCTGGAGAAGACTAAAGGGCCTTTTTGAGCTGGAAACGACACACACACAGCTTAGTCAGCGGCATCCAAAGTGTTGTGGGAGTTTGCTGAGGGCTGAGCTTGTTTTTTGTTGTTGTCTTTTCTTGGAGCACATTCCTTTCTGCTGCCCTCATGACGCGGACTCAGCACCAAGCCTCATAGCTCATAGCTGATACAAGAGACGGACTATCAACGCATGGTCTCCGCCCCGTTAAACCCCTAAACCCTAAGCCCAAACCCCCAGAACCCCTAAACCCTAAACCCAAACCCCCGAAACCCCTAAATCCTAAACCCTGGACCCCTAAACCCCTAAACACCTAAACCCTGAGCCCCAAAACCCCGAAAGCCCAAACCCTGACTGCTATATGCAGTTTCTTGGGAGGAGCACCTGGAGGAGTCGCAGATTGCGCTTCGAAGAGCAGCTTGAAAACTGCTTTTGGAAGGTTATTGTTTACGGATTTGGTGAGTGTTGATTTAGGGAGGTTCCTTGTTATGGAGATACTACATGTAGTAATGCAAATTCTGTATCATGTACGGTCTTCATCAGATTCGGTCCGTTCTTGCATGTTTGGCTTTGCGCTTCCAGCTCACACCATTTATGTTGAGATGGTCGCGCTAGCCCTGGTGAACTTAGGTAGAAGAATCCCTGCGAAATTACCATAGCAACGTGCTCTACATCAGAGCACGAGAGGAGCGGATGAGGCACGCAGGGACCAAATATTTCAGCTAGACTGTTGTCTTTTCAGTCGCCTTGTCGGGCAGGCAAACCAATGATTCCACCGCGTCCCGAGCAACTTGACAGAATTATCTCGAGAAGGCATCCTCGACATGTGCAGTTGTCTTCGACGGACCTTGCAGGTTGCAGCTCCTGCATCTGCTGAGGTCATCTTCTTCTGCTTGTTCAATGTTTTCTTGATGTGCCCCGGCATGTTCTTATTTCGTTGAAGTTGGTGAACTGTACTGGGCTGCATCCAACATCTGACAAGGATCGGCGTTGGTGGCTGGCAAATGCTGTACTTCAAACGCTTCTTCCGGTCAAAGAAGATAATCTAACTGGGCCCTTAAGCGGGCCGAGCTGCGGAACGGCTGCAGTCTGCGCCGTGCAGCTGACTGGCAGAGGCTCGGTCGACGACGGGATAGTAAAATACCGTGTAACTTAGTGCAATGCGGTTCCATACGGTATAAAATAGTATTGTGCCACTCTTTTCATGGCGGCATGCCTTGGAACTGCCAAATTACTGGCTCCTGGCAACACGAGCCATGTGGCAGCATCGGAAAATGAGGGATATCAGTAAAAGGCCCCCCAATGTATTCAACTCGTATGTGTTTTGACTTAGCCTGCGACGAGCTGCTGCAGGCGTGGCTAGCGGCGAGCGGATGCTGCTGTAGGGACCAGTGAGGGCAGCGGAGCTTTAGTTTGTAGACCTCAATGACGTAGTCCAGCCAACGATATCATGGGCTTCAGTTTTCTATAAACGAAAACTATATACATATACATATATCTTTTTTTTCTAACTGTCTCCGCTTCTTGCCTTCGTGCAGTTGTTCCTGTAGGAACAGCAGGCTGACATCAGCCTCGTGCGAAAAGCCTTGCGACTCGCTGCTGATGTTCAAAAGGGGAAGCTGACCGGGGTGGCACGTTGTTTCTGGAAGCCCAAAACAGTGAGACTGGCGCTGGAGAAAGCCTCATTACTTTTCATGCTGAGGTGCGCTGCCAACTTGCTGCTGGTGCGACTGCCGCAGGCATCGGCACGTGGTTTTCAGCTTGTCCCGAGACCTATGACCGGTGCCCGTAAGCCTCTTTTGTCTTCCGTAGTCCCTAAACCCAAAAAACAAACCCTAATAGTAAGGGCAGATGAACACCACTAGTCGCAACTGGAGACAAGTTGACCAGGCTTCCAGAAGCTGAAGGCTGGCAGGGGATCGGTTCGGTGCTTCGCCTTCCATGTGGGAGTTTCCGAAAATTAGGGGTACCTTGTTTGGGGCTCTTATAATAAGGATCCTAGTATTTGGGCAACTATATTAGGGTTCCCTATTTCATTTCATCCAAGCCGGCAGCCATTGGCGTCTGTGCGCGTCAAAGAGTGGTGGTGTTGGGCGGGTGGATGCTTCGGCGCGTTTGGAATGTTGCATGCGTACTGGTTACTGGTGCCTGGAATTGAGACCTCTCGCAAAAAGTTGACTCCTAAGTTGGACTATAGTGTACTGCATAGTTGCATAGGTTGTTTTGCATTATACTGTTTCCTACTTCACTATGTTGGACTATAATTACATGCCATGCTATGAACATGCGATACACCGTCATGGTGCCGCTCTGTTTGGGAATGCGCCTTGGCAGGCGGAGCACCTGAAGCTGTCAAGGGCTGTGGAGCTGGATGCGATGGCCTTGAGGAGGGAGCAGAGTTTGGGCCTTTTTTTCACGATTATGGTACTATTATTGTACCATTATAGTACTATTATAGTACTATTATCGTACTATTATAATACTATTATAGCACTATTAGAGTACTGTTATAGTACTATTATAGTACTCTTGTAGTGGTTCTGAAGAGTCAGCTGAAATGTTCTGCGCAGAGGACCCTGGAGTGGCTGTGCGAAGAGGTGCGCGGTTGGGAATGGCTCCGCAGATGTCGCAGTATACTTAAAGCAGCTCGCATGGATTGCAAAGCAACGCCAGACCCTCTCCTCCCCAGATCTTCTTCGCGTGAACCACGGTGCCCTGGCCTCGGAGGCTTTTTCTAGGCCAATCCTTGGAGCGCTTTCTGGGCCTAGGCCTCCCGAGTGCTTTCGAACGGGTGGAAGCTTGACCTTGGAGCGCGAGTGCCTCAGGAAGTCCCGCAAGTGTTAGGTTCCTTATATTAATATACTATATTATAATATATTGTATTGATCTATTATATTATATTATGTGATTGCGAAGTTATGGACCGTGATAGCTTTGGTGAAACAGGCAAGCCTGAGATGGCCTGCCAGACGCCAGAACAGCTCAGCACGTTCAGGTTGGTGGTGCTGTCCAACTCATGTCGAGCTCATGGTGGAGCTTATCGCAAGATTCCTGGAGCGCCATCGCAGAAGTAGCTTGATCTGCGTTTTAGACCGTGGCGCTGCCCTGGAGAAGGTTTGCTAAACCCTAAACCCCTAAACCCCTATATAAACCCCCTAAACCCCTAAACCCTAACCCCTAAAACCCTACCCCCCTAAACCCCTAAACCCTAAACCCCTAAACCCCTAAACCCCCAAACCCCTGAACCCTGAACCCTAAACCTTGAAGTGCAGTCGAGGCTTGCAGCGGCCAGTCTTCGAGCTGGTCGCCCTCCTCGCGTCGCGCCGACGCCACGTGCGCTCCTCGAGTCTCCGATTTCTCCGCTTTTGTGGACGTGAAAAGCATATAGTTCTATAACAATAACACGTTAATACTACCATAATGGTACTGCAATTTTACCATAATACTACTATAGCACTACTATAACAATACTATAATAGTACTATAGTACTACTATAAGAGTACTATAATCATCTTAAACGTAGTGACTGATGACATCTGAGAACACGAGTCGCTAGACCCTACGCCTTGAAGCGTGGCTCTCTTTTTCCGAGTCGGGCATTGCGGCAGAGTACATCGGCATCACTGACCTCAGACCTCTGCCAACCTGCCGGGCAGCAGAGTTCTTTGAGAGGTGTCTAAGTGCTTGTGTGCCATTTGACGCCGTTCGGGCTACAGATCGTCAACAGTGAGGTGATGCTGTGGAGATGTCCAACATGTATCTTCCAGGACAACCCTGCGCGTTTCCGGATCACTAGCCGTTTCCAACATCTTCTTGACAGGCGCCGCTCGGGATCGCGCTAGCGCTGAGGCGGCCTGCAGTGCTGGAGTCAAGGGCCGCCTCGGAATACAGTACAGAGGGGCCAAACACTTTCTCCCTCTTGGTTTCCCGATGGGCGCAGGCGCTGTGGGCTCGCTTGGCCAAATCTGGCGTTGCTCGGATGCCATCCGCACGAGAGGTGGCCTAGCACTCAGCTTTCTTGAGTACAAGCTGCACCCCAACATGTCAATTCTGGAAGTCCGTTTTAATCGACTTCGAGTGCTTCTTCCTGTGCTGCTCAGGAAGCTCCGCTGGTGTACCGGCTGCAGCATCCACGGGGGTCTCGTGACTAAGCAAGTGCACGAAGCAGCCGGCAGATGATGTGCGCACTAGCACACAGGTTGTGACCAGACACAGTTGTGATTCATGCACTGTTGTGTCCGAGGTGGAATCTCCGGCACCACTATGGACAATTCGCGCACACGGCCAGAAAAGACCGATATCAAATTGAAACTTAATTGGTCATTGCAAGTTCGAAGTTGTGCTCAGCAGTCACCTACAGCTTCGCTCATGTCATCGTGAAGCTAAACTGCTGCTGGCAAACATGCCTAGGTCAAAGATGTACAACGAAATGCGGCTGGCTTGCGAGGTACAGCTGGGATCGTCCATTCGATACTGCCGCCTGTATTGCGAATCCTGAAAGCTTCTTCCACAGCTCTCTAGGCTGAATTGCTGCTTACCCAAAACTGAACCCAAAAGCACAAGCCAAAGCCCTTCTGGGTGTCAAAAGCACGTGGAAGATGACGGGACTTGCCCGGTACGTTTGTAAGGCATAAGTCCCCTAACTGTACTTACTTTACTGAAAACCACCTGCTTACTGAGTCCCATCATCCTAAACCCTAAGCCCTAAACCCTAATCCCTTGTCCATCAAGTACAATCCATGTTGCAGGTTGGGAAGAAGCGTGCGCCAGTGCCGAACGATAGCTCGGGCCTTGAAAGAAATCAGACTGAGCAGCCAACAACAAATGATCTAAAAATGGGTTATATCAAATGTATAATATACAATGCAATGCATGCCGAAGATTTTATTTGTTCACGGTAAGAGAATATTCAGATAGTTATGTCATGAACAACAAATACCCATGATATAAATGTGGATAGTATGTATATTTATACATAGGTATGCACACAAAGCGGTTCTTTTGCGCATCTCCATTTATATTTATATGCACATGCCCAAGACATATAAAGTACGTTACAATATGTGTATATATATAGGTATATCATATAAGTTTATATAAGCATACCATCCATCCATCCATCCATCTATCCATCCATCCATCCATCCATCCATCCATCCATCCATCCATACTTACGTGCATGTATGCATACATACATAGATGCATACATACATACATGCATGCATACATACATACATACATACATACATACATACATACACACACGAATTTAGACATATACATGTGCGTAGCCACCGACCGAGTTGCAGATGCATGGTTGCAAACGAGACCAGTATTATTATGTCAAATCCTCTGACCAAGAGAGACAGTGTACACGCGCTGTTTCCAGGTCCAGTCTGGTGCGACAATAGAACACAGCTCTGCGAGAGGACACCGGGCGGTTTGGGGGAGTGCTGATAGTGCCCATGAGATGAGGCTCGTCATAACAGTCACGGGCTTAGAGTTCAGGGTTTGAGGGCGGTAGGGCTTTGGGTACAGACTTGATCTGGTTTGGGAGCCCCGCTGAGTATGAAGCGCGTACCAGATGCGCGAAGGACATCCTGCCGTCATTGGCCAGCCTGGCATGTTACAGAAGAGTCACCCTACCCTAAACATCCCTAGACCCTCTAGCCCTAAAGTGCGAATCCGTCGAAGCCTTCAAGTCCAAAAACCCTGTTGAATCGCCAGACTCTGATGCTCGAAGCCTTTTTTTGGGTTTGACAGGTGGCATGAGGTGCATCCGCTCAAGGCGATGCCCCAGCCATGGGTGGATGACCGAATCGAGCGACCGCCCGAGCAGAGCGGGGTGTGGGGTGTAGGAAGTAGGGTTTAGCCTTGTTGCGGGTTGACATGAATTCACGGAGTGAGGGTTTGGGGTTGCGGCGGGGTTCAGCGTTTAGCTGTTGCAGTATTTCTTCTTCTTCCTTCTATATACTGTTGGCTCTACTTTTGAGTTTCTAGGTTTCGGGCTTAAGTTTTTGTCAGGCGTTTGTGGTTGGTTTGGAGCTTCCGTGCCGTAAGTGTTTTGGGCTTGAGGGCTTAGCGATTTTTGCCCTGACATCCATATGGACTGCAGGTACGACCAGCTGAGAAACCTGTGCACGGCGATTGAGAGGCCCAAGATCAATGCGGAGGTCGGGGCGCTCAGAGCGGGCTTAAGGTTTACTTTTGTGTTCTGACTTGCCTCCTTTTCGTCAGTGGAGGACCTCGATCGTTACCAGAAAACCACAGAGGCGCGGAAGTGGAGCCAAGTGGGCTCTTTGTTCGTGAAAGCGCGATGTCAGCTTGGAAAATAAATGTCTAGCTCCAGCCAGCGCCGTCGGATCTTGCTCCTGCGAGGCCCAAGCCCTTCACCTTCGCGAAGAGTTCTGCAGGCAGCGTCATGTCTCTCATGCTTCATGGTGGGCAGTGGAGTTGCAGGGTTTGCAAACGGAATGCAATGACGCTCAATTTTGGCTCCTGCACCAGCCTCCTCATAGTCCGCCGACACCCATTCTCGATCCACGCCCTTCTTGCAGAGATGCGACGATCAGTCTGGTTGGGTTTGTGCCCACAGCCCCATATCCAGCTGTGACCAGACTGTGCAGTTCCGAAAGAACCCAACAGGATTTTGGTCAAGAACGCTGTTGGTTGAGTGGTCATGTGCTGGATCTGCTTGTAGCAGCACCCTGCGTGGGATCTTCGGAAGTTCAGAAGAAGCAGCGGCAGAGCAGTTCGGGCAATTCAGCGACTGCCAGGCCAAAGTGGGTTGATGGATACTGTGAGCCAAAGTCACCGCCACGAGTACATGCACGGTGCACCCTGCAGGCGCAGAGTTCGATCAATGTCAATGCTTCACTGTTCTCCCCTGGAATTCCAGGATGTCATCTGTTTGACAGGATGGACAATTCTGCAAAAGGGGCCTCGTGAAAACCGACTCCGCCAGATGCTGAGTGCTCACTTTCGGGTATGCTGGCTCTCAGATCGCAATCTGTCTCAGGATGCCGATATTACCTCGGAGTGGGGTGACGCCTTCAAGGCCGAATCCCCTTCAGCTGTCAGAGAGCTCTGGGAGAAAGGGAGATGCAGCCGGTCAGTCCGACAAGTCCGTCGGCCGAGTACTAGATTGCAGCCAACCATCACATCGATTCTAAGCACCGGGAGACCTGCATCATGTTGTGCTTGCGATTTCGGTTGAGGTTGCCACTCTGCCGCAATGTGCCAGCACAAAGTTTTTCGTGGTCCGTCGAAGCTTTTTGTGCAGTGCATGGCGGGGCTCATCGTCACTTCCTCCCCCAAATTCTTGACTCCCTGGCCTGGCGAATGCGGAGGAGGAAATCCCTTCTGGATCAAAAATTCCTACTGCGGCGCGAGATTAGCAAGAGCACTCAAGGAGCATGCCAACCCGCTAGCTCGACAAGAAGACTCCATGGACCACGGCGGAGTGCTTGAAGAGCAGTCCCGGAGCATTCCTCACCTTGAGCAGAAGTGGCTTTCTTGGCATTCAAACTGTAGGTTGGTTG